CTGAAGATGATTAAAATCGAAATATGGCCCATATACGCTTCACCATGAACACCAATAATGTTATTACCCTAAATTAACCCTAATAATTACAAGGTTACTGTTAGAAATATTGAAAAACTCAATCGTAAGCTTTCAAAAGCTAAAAATTTGGTTGATTTTATCAAACATTTCATCAATTATGTATGTATATATATATATATAAGCTAAAAATTTGGTTGATTTTATCAAACATTTCATCAATTATGTATATATATATATATATATATATATATATATATATATGGAGCAGTCGCGATTGCTCCATCTCTCTCGAGAATTAGAAATATATATATATATATACGCTCATCTATATATATATATATATATATATATATATATATATATATATATATATATATATATATATATATATGGAGCAGTCGCGATTGCTCCATCTCTCTCGAGAATTAGAAATATATATATATATACGCTCATCGGTAGCACTAGCCGCATTTTGATTTTCCATCTCTCTCGAGAATTAGAAATATATATATATATACGCTCATCGGTAGCACTAGCCGCATTTTGATTTGCTCGGTATTTTTTCTTAATTTTATAGTTTAAAATCGAGTATTTTGTTTAAATTTAATTTCATTTGATAGAGAAAATTTTGACGAATTTAATGATATAATTTGTTTGCGTTATTTGTTTGAAGTTAATTTTTCTTCATTTAATTTAAGTTAAGTTGATTTAATTGTAAATTCTTGTTTAATCGACGAGAGAAGGAATTTAATTTTGTAAACGTTATAGGATAACCTGTATTGTTTTATCAGACTATCAGATATAGTGACATATTTTACGTTGAATATGTCGAAAGATAAATGCAACAAATGCAAAGTTAAAATCAAAGAAAGTAACAAAGAGTTAATTTGTTGTGGCATATGTGGTGACGGCTACCACATCAAATGTATTCCGACCGATGCTCAAGTCTTGACAGCAGTAGTATCCGATCCAAATTTATTTTGGCTCTGCAATAGCTGCGTTAAAGACATTAAAGAAGGTTTTAAAAAGATTTGTGATCTGCAAAAATCCCAAAATGAAATAATCTGTAACCAAGATAAGCTTACTGATGAGCAAAGTTCTTTTCGTCGTGAGTTGGATTCAATTGACGCAAAGTTAAGCAAAATGGCCAACAAAATTGATGAATTTGATAAGTCGGTAACAAATGTAAACACGCAGATTAAAGATGTTGAAGGGGGTTTAAAAAAGAATTGGACTGAAGTTGTAAAGGGAACCATCAAAGAAGAAGTTAAATCGACTACGGTGGCTCTGAACAATGTCGTCAAATCAATTAAAAACAACGTCGAAACAATAAACCGTGAGTGCAATGTTGTGTTATTTAGGCTCAGTGAAGCTGAAACTAACTCTGCTGATGCTCGCAATGATGATAAAAAAATTGTTATGAATTTGCTTTCAGTCATTACAAATGATGAAATCAAGGAAAGTGATATTAAGAAAATGTACAGAATTGGCAAAAAAGGTGACAACCCACGTCCGATGTTGATCGAGTTTAAAGAAAAGTCTATGAAAAACATGATAATGGAAAATCGTGTGAGGATGAAACAATAGAGTGATGAATTAAAAAATGTCAGCATAAGCCATGACTTCACTAAAGAACAGCGTGAGAAATGTAAAAAACTGGTAGCTGAAGCAAAAGATAAACAGAAACAGGAGTCGGGGGAATTTTTGTACAGGGTGAAGGGAGATCCGTCAAATTTGAGAATAATAAAAATAGAGAAATATCCAATAAAAAACTAAAGCATACTAGCTTTGATTGTGCGTCTATGGTTTTCAACTCTTCTGGTAATGTCAATAAAATTAAGGTGGGTCTGTTAAACATTAGATCTTTGGGTCCAAATGTTGATGATGTTCATGAGCTGCTCAATAATGGCTTGGATGTTTTGATGCTTACAGAAACTTGGCATAAATCATCTGATAATATTTGTCTTAGTTTTGCAAAACCACGTGATTTTAGTTTTTTGGAACAAGTTAGGCTAAATGATCCTGGGCATGGTGGTTTGGTAACGTATTTCAGAAACCACTTTAAATGTGCAAAAATTCCATTGCCAGTGATAATTACATTTGAAGCAATATGTTTTAAATTGACGTTACGGAAAACTTCAGTAATTTTTTTGGTGATTTATAGGCCAGGTTCTGCTCCTCCTGCTAAATTATTTTTTGAAGAATTAATTTTAGTTTTAGAACAAATCACTCTTTTATGTTGCAGTATTGTAGTTGCAGGCGACTTCAACATACACGTTGAAACTTCGTCAGATATATATGCAACAGCCCTTGCTGATATTTTCTCTAGTTTTGATCTTGTCAATAGAATTAATCAGTCTACCCATGTGCTCGGTGGTACCCTGGATTTGATGGATCGGATGGTTTTTTGTTAGAAGATATATTGGTGTACCCATCTGGTATCTATTCAGATCATGGTTTAGTAACTGGTCAATTTTTAATCAATCCGACTCCAGTCATTTTCAAGAAATCGTGGATCAGATCCTGGAAACGAGTGGATAAAAAACGTCTGACTGAGCTTTTGAGGTGCTCACCTATCTCGAAACATTATGGTCAGGATGATGATGCTGAATTGGGTTTTAAAATATTCAATGAAGAGCTTTTAAAAATTGCTGACGATGTTGCTCCCCTTCATGAAGTTCGATGGAAACATGTCCCGACTGCCCCATGGTTTGACAGTGACTGCAAAAAGCAAATGTGTCGAAAAAAAGAAAGAAGGTTCAGAACTACTGGTTGTTATAATGATAAAGTTGATTGGGTACTGGCAATGAAACAAAAGAATGTTTGTTACTCAGTGAAACGAAGGAGTTTTCGGTTCGCGAAAACATGTCAATTTAAAAATAATTCCAAATACTTATGGCAAACGATTAATAAATTATTAGGAAAAGAGACAAGTGTTGAAAATGAAGTTGGTTCAATGCATAGCGCCGATGATTTTAAAAAATTTTTTGCTGACAAGTTGAACGTGACCGAAAAGTCAACTGAATGTTTTAATTTTCCAGTTATTTCTACTAATACTAATATTATGTTTCCACTCGAATCGTTTCCAGTGCTGACTGAAGAACAGATATCTAATGTTGTTAATTCGTCACCTACGAAGTCATGCTCACTCGACCCAATACCGACGCATGTATTCAAAGAATATGCTGACTGTTTTATTGTTTACTTAACGGACTTAATCAACATGTGCTTAACGAAGGGTGTAATGCCACAGGTTTACAAGCATGCAATTGTCACGCCAGTTCTAAAGAAGACAGGATTAGATAAATCAGATGTGATAAACTATAGGCCGGTGTCAAATTTGTCTTTCGTTTCTAAAATTATTGAACGTTCCGTTGAGTTAGTTTTAAATAATCATATAAATAAAAATGGTATTTGGCCTTCGCATCAATCTGGATACAGAAGGTTTCATTCGACCGAAACAGCTCTATATTCTCTCATGTTTATTCAGCAGTTAATGTACAAAAAGTAACTTTGTTGACATTGCTGGACATGAGTTCGGCGTTCGATACTGTGAATCATAAAATCCTGCTGGACAGACTGAAATATTGTTATGGTTTAAATAAGATTGCGTTAGCGTGGTTCGAATCATTTCTTACTGGTCGGACTCAGCAGATTTCTTACTCAGGTGGTCTCTCGGAACCAATGAAACTTACGTCAGGGGTGCCTCAAGGATCTGTTCTTGGACCGATTCTTTTTAATTTGTACGTTGCAGAGATATTGGATTTACTGAATAAAGATGTTATTATTGCCATGGGTACGCGGATGACATGCAGATTTGCGTTTCATGTTTCCCAGATGAGATGCCTATCGTATTAGAGAAACTGACAAAAACTATATCTGATGTCGGCTCGTAGCTGGGTCAAAGTAGGCTAAAGTTGAATCAGACTAAGACTCAGTTCATGTTGGCTGGTACATGGCAACAAACGTCAGCGGTTGAACCTTCATCGATTAATATCAGCATGACTGATATAAGTTTCAGTAAAACGGTAACCATTTTGGGAATTGTGATGGACTCCCGTATGACAATGGGTCCACAAGTCAGTCTATTGGTTAAAAAATGTATGTTCCAACTACGTCAATTACGTCAAGTCACAAAATCGGTAGATAGAGATACAATGACTCTATTAGTACATGCTTTCGTCAACTCTAGATTGGATTATTGTAAGTCTTCTATATGGCATAGCAGATAAACTGTTGTCTAAACTTCAGATGGTTCAGAATCAGGCTGCTAAAATGATATATCGCAAATTAAAATTTGATCATGCATCACCAATTCTAAAGGAGTTGCATTGGCTGCGTGTTAAACAAAGAATCATGTTCAAGTTGGGTGTAATGGTATTTAAAAGTTTAAATGGTCTGGCTCCGAAATATTTAGAAGATAAGTGTATTCGAGTTTCATCTATGTCATCACATGGGAGTCTAAGGTCTGCAGATTCAAACACGCTGTATGTTAGAGATCAGAATCTGAAAACAGCAGATAGAGATTTTGCAGTTGCTGGGTCTATTTTTTGGAACAGCCTACCTATCGAACTACGTATATCCGGGTTATCATTAGCTGAGTTTAGAAAACGTCTAAAGACATACCTATTTGGTAAACTCCTAGTGATCTCAACTTATGATGGTTTCGCTTTCAACATGCTTCATACGAGGAGAGCGCTGATGAGAAGCAATTATAATTGGCGCTATATAAATACAATATTTGATTTGATTTGATATATATTTGACATTTTTTGACGTTTTTTATTTTATCAAATCAAAACAAAACAAATCAAAGAAATGATATCAATGAAAAGAAATGATCTGGAAATCGAAAAGAAAATATGGTTTTCTTGTAATGATTACCAGCGACAATTGTAAAAATGAGAGCATATTTTAAATATTTTAGTGAATGTAAACTCACATTCATATTACAAATCCTAAAAAACCAAAAATGGAATCATAATTATTAAGTAATGAACTCTTTTACATTTTTATCAGAATGTCCTTTGTAATTAATGAAACACAAATATATATATATATATAGACCCACGTAAAACATACTTATTCACATATACACACATATATATACACACACACACGCACGCACGTACATACACACACACGTACACACACACACCCGTACATGAACCCACACAAAAAGTTAAGGGGGTTTAAATGTTAAAAAGTAGGATTTGATGTCTTTTTTAAATTTTACAACGGATTTTGCTTCTTTCAAATATTCAGGTAATTTGTTCCACGTCTTAGGTCCGACGACTCTTATGCTACTATTGATAAGTTTCAATCTGTTTTTTTTTCAATATTAAATGTTGAGGTATGTTTTGTGTGTTTTAACTGGATTGCGTTACTATAAATAAACAAATTATTAAAATTTTTTGGAATTTAGTTTAAATATAAATATTGAGATCATGTGTGATAAATTTGTTTTATTGAAAGAAGTTTTGCAATCTGAAAATAATTAGAGGTGTGGTCATTAAATTTCAAATCGAATAAAATTCTTATAAAACGTTTTTGACATTTTAACCGGGGATCTAGCTGATAAGCAGGACTATTTCCCCATATGATCACGCAATAATGAATATAAGGGTATATAAAGCTATAATACAAATCTTTTAATATTGTGGAATTAATCTTATTTTTGATTTTATAAAGTGTACTTACGAATTTATTGATTTTTGATTTAAGATTTTCAATGTGATAACTGCAAGACAAATTATCTTGCAGAACTAAACCCAATATATATATATATATATATATATATATATATATATATATATATATATATATATGTATATATGAAGTTTTTTAGCGCGCATGTGGAATGAATGGCGCAAGTGTGTATGTTGGTGCGCATGTTGTATGATGAAGTGGTCAGGTGGGCAGGCTGGTCGAATGTCGTATGAATTGGTTTATTGGTTTTGTGTTCAGGTTGGTAGAATATAGTATTAATTAATTAGTGAATGTTGGTTGGTATGGCGCATATATAGTGAGTATGTTAGAGAATGAATGTTTTCTCAGTTTGTTTAGAATTTGTTTAGTATATAAACCTTTTGGACTATTGTTTGAAAAAAAGGAGGAAAGTTAGTGTTTTAGGTTAGTGTTTTGAATTAGTGTTTTGAATTAGTTTTTGAATTTATTGTGGTTGGTAATTGGTCGGTCGGTTTCTGCTGGTTTGGTTGCTCTGGCGTTTTTTTGTTTTGAAATTTCATTCATTATTACGGCTGGTAAAAATATTTTTTGTTTACTAAGAATATTTAATTTAGTTCTGTCGTTGACTTTAAAAACATTTGAATTAAAGAATATTATAAGTCAATATTATTTTGTTTGTTTTATTTTTGTTTATTAATAGAATTATTTCAGTTAGGTTTTGTTTGTCATTTTTAAAAACTAAAACATGTTTGAAGGAGACTTGCTAGCAGTTAATATGGCCGGATTAACCGACCAGCAAGCAGGGCGCGATAATACTTCCGCCCCGGAAATAAAAAGTTGTGAAAAGGCGAGTCCCGGCCAGAAATGAGACTGCCTAGGCTGGCGGCGGCGGTTGTTGATATTCGAGCAAAGGAAAAATTTCGCCTAGCGGCAAAAGTTCACAATTGGCGCCAAACGTGGGGCCTTTTCTTCAAAAGTTTTAGGTGACAGATACAGCAGGAGTCAAGGTGATTACCCTCGTCAATTTTTAGGTGACGAGTATATCACAGATAAAATTAAAATTGTTTCTTCCAAACTTTTAGGTGACA